CATTGGCTGGAAATGGGGCCGCACTCTTGTGCCTGTTGCAGGAATTCATACCCAGATCTGCTCCAGGAGGTGTTGGTCCCTGTCAGGGGGCGAGCGCTGCGGTGAGAGCCACGGAGAAGCCCTGCTTAAGCCAGGTCATGTCAGCGGGGTTGTGCAGAGCTAGTATGGCCTTGGGCACGGTATCTGGTGGGAAACTTTTCCTCCCCTTCCAAGCCCCACCCCGCCCCCTACATACACACACACACACACACACACACACACACACACACACACAGAGAAAGTAACAGTGGGGTAATTGCTCCTTTTGGGGTACCTTTTACCGGGGGGAACAGAGCTTGAGCCTCTGGAGACAACCTGGCTTTTGCCTGGCCTTCTTTGGGAAGATCGTCCTGGATTGGTTTGGCCTTGGGACTAGAGGCTTTTATGATAGAGAGGGGTTGATTTTCCTTCCTTACCTCTCAATTATTCATCTGAAAGCAGTATATAGAGTACTCATTGCCCTTAGGAAGAGGGATTTGGCCTGAGGTGGAAAGGGTAAGGTGGTGGAGCTCAGGTTGGCAGGGGCAGGCACCAGGCACTGAGGTTTGGGAGTCAGGGTGGAGCAGCCCTGGGAGAATGGAAGGGGAAGGGCATTGCCTTTTCAGGGTACAGAGCTGCATGTCTGCAAGCTGGGTGCTCCAGGGTCTCTTGGTTCAGATGCTCTTGGCTCAGCAGTCTCTTACCTTACTCTTTGCCACTTGAACCCCCTCAAGGTCCTACCTCTCTGAGCTCCATTCTAGGATAAGGCAAAAATGTTAAGGGTCAGAGGTCCAGGGCCTGGTGTCTGGGAGCCTGGCCCCCTTTCTCCTCCAGGGAGGAGGCCGGGCCTTCTGCTGTTAGACCCGGCCTTGGACAGCCTTGAGTTCTGAGTGATGCAGATTGTGCACCCTGTTCTGGGCACCAGCCTCATCAGGAATTCTCAGAGCTGCCTCTGCTGAGATGAGGCTCGGGCTCAGTCTGTCCCCACAGCAACAAACCCAGATGCTCTGCTTCCTGCTTTGCATGGGCAACCGTTAGGAAGAGGTCTCAGTGAGACCTTGATGTCCTGGATCCTAGTGGAATCACGGATTCCTTGAACCTAGGGCTCCTTGTCACTTTCTTGCCCATTTGTCTCCTTGTACAGATGAGGATTCTGAGGCCCAGAGTACGATGGTGGCTTGCCTTCACACATTCAGGGGAGAATTGAAGCTGGAATGTAGGACTTCCCCACTGCGTGCTCTTTGCTGCTTGGGACGGGGGGAGGGGAGTCTCTGCATCCTGCTGTCTTCTGTGGGGAGCATCAATACCTACCTATACTTGGGTTGGGAGAGCCACTTGGCAGTGACTCAGTCAATGGTCTGTTTGAAAAATCATCAACTCCTATATACATGGAATTTAGCCACTTTGAAGGAATCTTTCTGAGTCTCTGCTCTTTCCCTGAAACTTATGGGCAGAGACGGCCACGTCATAGGATTTTTTTGTGGGGACAAATTAAATTGTTGCTGTAAGAGTGCCTAAAACAGTGCCCAGAGCATTGTCAGCACTCCATGAGTGTTAACCAAACGTGAATTGGAATTATCTGTGACCAACGCTTATGTCGTGGGCTTGCTTGCCAAACTTCCCTTGCTCCTTAGAAAACCCAGCTAAGAGTGTGTGGAGGGACTACAAATCCTCCCGATAGCCTGGAGGAAGTATGGGAACTAACAGGGTAAATTTCTTGCAAAGGATATAAAATGCACAGGATGTGTTCCCACATCCATCCGTAGCATGTGGACCACCCACTGCAGAGGGTGAACAACCCCCCTGTTCTTTCCCCATAATCAGGAGCTCATCAGGCTTGTGCTGGTTTTCTGTTCTCTGAGCGATGACATTTATGGGGAATGTCATTGTCATTCCTGTTGTCTTCTGTGGCATCTGAATCAACCTCCCTTTTTGAGGGAGCAGAGGGGCCTGTGAATATTCTCTTTAGCATGCAGATGAGGAAACTGAGGCAGAGATTGGCTCCTTGAGAAAACCCGACTGAGAGCACAGTGAGTCAGAGCCACTTCAGTTGGCTTCTTTTGATTCCGATCTGTCTGCAGAGTGTATTGTCTGTTAGGAGAGAGAAAAGTCTACCCTGGACGCCCCCCACCCCCACCACTTAGCATGGCATGGAGTAAAATTGACAGAATGCAAATGGCGGCTGTAAAATCAGGGTTCCCAGTCTGAGAACCTACTGACAGCAGCACACTGAGCTACCTCCTGGGCTATCATGTAAAAACTGAGGCGTCGTGGCCTTTACCCTTCAGGAGCTTACTATGGGATGGGGCAGGGGGTGGGGGGAACAGGGCTGTACCCTTGAATTCCACATTGCCTGGGTTTAAATCTCTCTGCTTTCTTATCGCATCCTTAGGCCAGTTACTAAAGCTCCTCATGATTCATCTTCTTCACCTGCAAAATGGGGACCACAGTGGTGTCTACCCCCTAGGGCCCTCAGTGGGCTCAACTGACGTGGGCCACGTAAGCATGTGGTACAGTGCCTGGCACACAGTCAGCCCTGTGTAGACATCTGCTGCCATTCTTCTATGGACGGAAGACCTTGAGAAGTCACGTAGCATAGGCCGGGGGGCGTGGGGTGACGGGGGCCGGGGAGTGGGGGTCACCCTGCCCGAGGTGGGATCCCCGATCTGTCCATTTCCGGCTGGCATGCCGCCAACTCTCAGGCGGCTTCCAGGGTTGCTGGGAGGATAATGTGAGATGATGACAGGAGCCCGTTTGCGCAGAGCCTGGCATAGAGTACGTGCAGGACGATAGTGAGCCGCGAGTGTTAATAAGACATGTTGAAAGTGTCTTGTAATCCAACCCAGAGGGCAATAGGTGCCAGAAGAGAGGAGCAAACAAGGTGCTGTGAGCCCAGAGAAGGAGAGGATTTCAAGGGGGCGTCACAGAGAGGGTGAGGAACAGGGAGGCGAAGAGGAGGGCCGAAGGGAAAGGATATTCCACGGAAGGAAGAGTGTCCAGAAACAGCGCCCCACACAGTCTGTGCACGAGCCGCTCTGGCCTTGTTGCTGGAGGTCTGCACGGGTGCGTGGGGCTTGGGCTGGAAAGGTAAGCCAGGATCCGTCTGTGGCAGTCCTGGAATGCCGGGCCAGAGTTTGGACTTGATTTTGTGGGTTGTGGGATAAGGCACCACCGGAACCTTGCTTTAGGGAGGTTACTCTGAGCAGAATGGGTTCCCCAGGAACCGGGAGAAACGGTGGGGGTCGGGTGGGACGAGAGATGAGCAGGCCAGTGGGAAGGGAGCAAACTGGGGCCTTAACGAGGGCAGTAAGAGCTCTTGTCTCATTATTTGGCAAACCGTGTGGGTGAAGCAATGAGAAAGATGGCCAAAGGGACAGGCCTGGGGTTAGGGAAGCCGTGAACAAAAGGTTGACTGATGAGCAGGTTTTGGCAAGGAGGGAAGTTCGGGTTGACCTTGTCCAGACGGGAAAGTCTAGTGGCAGCTCGGGAGTGAGCGGCGGTAGACATCTGACAGCCTAGAGGAGTTGGTAGTCAGGAGAAGGAAGCAGGTTTACAGGGAAAGACGAAGATCGTCTGCCTCACTGATTTAAACATGGAGTCAAGCCAACTGAACTCCAGAGTGTCCAAATAATTCTGAGTTAGGGCTGGGTCCGGGTGCCAGTTTAGGATTAGTGAAAATGAGTGTGTCAACCCCAAACAATTTCCTGGTGCTGTTACGTTGTTTCTGTGTCACCACATGTCTTCCCACAGATGGCAACACATTTGGGGATTCAGAGTCATTTCAGTATCATCTTTAAAAAGCCAGATTTGGGAAGGTAAATCTGTTTCTCAAGGCCAAAAATAATTCTTCAAGCCATTGTTTCCCCCCAGCCATGCAGGTGACAGGGAGGTGTGTCCACGGTGTGGTTGAGAGACTGGTGGGTGAGGGGACGAGGTGTCCCAGCTCTGGAGGAGCCTCCAGGGGTGGAGCGGGGCCAGGTGAAAGGCACTGGCATGGGAAAGAGTGTTGTTATATAACCCGAGGGAGCTCTGGATGGTGGGCAGATGGAGACGGGAGGCGAGGAATCTGGAGACGGCAGTGAGTGTGGTTCAGCTTCCTCTTGGAGGGAGAGGGACAATGCATGGAAGGCAGGTGAGCCAAGAGCCCAGGACCCCCTTTACAGGATGGGGAGGGAACCCCGCCGCACCTAACGGCCTCTCCCACATCTTTCCATCATGGCTCTGAGGGATACGATTGGAGGCTAGGTTGCCAGGTGTCCCAGAAGGTAGCACCAGGGATAGCCTTCTCCATGGGACTTGGGGAACAGAACTGTACCAAGCTGTAGGCCTACCGTCTTCACCTGCCATCTCGGAGAACTTTCCAGACACGGGCAGCCCTGGCCTCCATCTCACCAGGGGGGAGTAGAAAGCATGTGTTTACCTGATCTCTCTCACCCACACCCCATTCCTGATTACCCTGGTGGGTGAAGAGTGAAATAAAAATTAGCATGTTTATCCCACTTTTAAATTCTTTTAATGAGAACTCATTTACCCTCTCCCAATTTAAATTCGTAATAACGCCATAACCTTTCAGAGCTGATTATTACCTGCGTCTTCCCAGATCTTCCTAGTAAAGAGGCTTTCCCTCCAAATGCTCCTGAGCCTTCTCGGAACTCGACAATTTGTCGGGCAGTCAACAACATCTGGTGATCCCACACTGCGACACTGCCCTGTGCTAGGTGCTCTCCCTAGGAGGGGAGGGAAAGGAATCCAGTCTCCTCTCTTCGGTGGCGGCCTCGGTTTCGTTAATTTGCCTTCAAGACTTTTGCTCGCTGTTCCACTCAGCATGGACCCTTCCCTGTGTCCCATTTCCTACCTGGGAGGCAATCACGGACTCACCTGGTTCTCTGCTCTCTCCTCCCATCTCCCAGGGGTCCCGGAACTAACTCCAAGCTGGTGTGCAAAGCCTCTGAGCAGTGGCCCGCCCAAGAGCTGGAGTCACCATGGCGGCGGGAGTGGCAGCCTGGCTGCCTTTTGCGCGGGCGGCGGCCATCGGGTGGATGCCAGTGGCCAACTGCCCCATGCCCCTCGCCCCCGCCGACAAGAACAAGCGGCAGGATGAACTGATCGTCCTCAACGTGAGCGGCCGGAGGTTCCAGACCTGGCGGACCACGCTGGAGCGCTACCCGGACACGCTGCTGGGCAGCACGGAGAAGGAGTTCTTCTTCAACGAGGACACCAAGGAGTACTTCTTTGACCGGGACCCAGAGGTGTTCCGGTGCGTCCTCAACTTCTACCGCACGGGGAAGCTGCACTACCCGCGCTACGAGTGCATCTCGGCCTACGACGACGAGCTGGCTTTCTATGGCATCCTCCCGGAGATCATCGGAGACTGCTGTTACGAGGAGTACAAGGACCGCAAGAGGGAGAACGCCGAGCGGCTCATGGACGACAACGACTCGGAGAACAACCAGGAGTCCATGCCTTCGCTCAGCTTCCGCCAGACCATGTGGCGGGCCTTCGAGAACCCGCACACCAGCACGCTGGCCTTGGTCTTCTACTACGTGACTGGCTTCTTCATTGCCGTGTCGGTCATCACCAACGTGGTGGAGACGGTGCCGTGCGGCACGGTGCCCGGGAGCAAGGAGCTGCCCTGTGGAGAGCGCTACTCGGTGGCCTTCTTCTGCCTGGACACTGCCTGCGTCATGATCTTCACCGTGGAGTACCTCCTCCGGCTCTTCGCGGCGCCCAGCCGCTACCGCTTCATCCGCAGCGTCATGAGCATCATCGATGTGGTGGCCATCATGCCGTACTACATCGGCCTGGTCATGACCAACAATGAGGACGTGTCCGGTGCCTTCGTCACGCTCCGGGTCTTCCGCGTCTTCAGGATCTTCAAGTTCTCGCGCCACTCCCAGGGCTTGCGGATCCTGGGCTACACGCTCAAGAGCTGTGCCTCTGAACTCGGCTTTCTCCTCTTCTCCCTCACCATGGCCATCATCATCTTTGCCACTGTGATGTTTTATGCGGAGAAGGGCTCCTCTGCCAGCAAGTTCACGAGCATTCCTGCCTCTTTTTGGTACACCATTGTCACCATGACCACACTGGGGTAAGTCTGTGCCGGTAGACCGGAAGAGGGTGGAGGTTGGATGGGTGGGAAACCGTGGATGGCATCAGGACTGGGCAGAGGAGTGGGGAGTCGCTTGGCCAAGTTGTAGGAGCAAGGGGAGTTGCCTCATCAGAAAAGGAAGGCACACAAGTGATTTGTTTGGGGGTGGTAGCTTGCTCTGAATTGAGTTTTCTTTTTTGGGGGGGGGGCCATGCATTTTATACAACATGGAAAATCAAGCCGTCATTTGTCTTCTCAGCCATGCGTGCAGTGTGTTGTGGGGGGTGGGGTGAGTGGCTGTATTCTTACAAGCATCCGTGCTTGTAAGGGCTGTCACTGAGAGAGAAACGGGGCAGCAGATAGGAAGGAAGAAGGCCCTGAGGAGTTCCGTGAGTATCGTAAGGAGGGTACACATTTCCATTAACCAGAAGACACCGAGAGCACTTCTTCTGGACCCTTCCTGCATTTCTTCTCTGTAATATATCTGCAGGCTATTTCTCTGTTGCCTTCTCTTCTCTGCTGCCACAGATGCTCAAGGGTTCAGTGGATCTGAGCAGACTTTCTCTAAGTGACTCTGAACTTGGGTTTTCTGCAAAGCGGGGCATCCGATTTGTTTTCTTCTCATGGAAGGAGTTGCAGTCTTGCTTCCTCAGCCCGACTCTGTGATTGAATGCCCCGGCCTACCTGGGCGACTCTGAGGTGGTCTGCACGGATCACGTGGTCAGACACAGAAGCAGCAATATCATCAGAGGGAGGGAGAGGCACTCAGCAAGGCTACGGGTGACTCTGTCTCTTCCATCTCCCCGAGGTCCCTTCTCCAGCTGAGGTCACAGAAATGTATTTATGGTGCTGGCATGCGAGCTTTCCATCAGAGGAAGGGGCTCAGGAAGGAGATTGCAATCTTCACCCTAACAGGATTAGAGCCAACGAAGGCAGCTTTATGGAGACATGTATTTCTTAGGGGTTTCTGCTTTGGGCGTTGCGAGTCACGGAGGCTAATGCAAAAATCCCTTTACAATTCATGTGCTGGGTCTGTATTTGCTTAGGCCAGGAAGCGTTATATTGCTGATGGAGAATTCATGAAGCTTTTTATTTGGTCTTTGACAATTCGGTTGGTGGCGTCCTGGTGATTCGATTTTTTTTTTTTCCTGGCCTGAAACCCTGCGGCACTGGTGTCGGTTTTTCCATAGTGCTGTGTGTGCTTATTGGGAATGACTGAGCAGGTGACGGGACCTTTTAAAATGATTACATTTGTCATTGTGCCACACGGGAGGGGGAGAGCAAGGGGTGTCACTGTCCATTTGTGGAGGCCATATTTGATGGGGGCATTCCCTTTGTCTCTTGTCGGTCTGACACAGGCCATCCTGCCCCTTCCTCTCCCTCCAGCACACACACAGTTCTTTGAGCAGCTGCTCACGCCCGGAGTGGGTAAGAATGTCTGGTCATCTGACCTTGTCTCTTGGTTTAGGTGGCAGATGTGGGCTTCTTGGCACAGCAGGATATTTAGGGATAAAGTGGCTTGGGGGCTGGCCACCGTATCAAGAGAAAGAGACACATTTACCCCTTCTAGGCTGACCCTGCCCATCCCTTCACTCTCCTGAAGGCGACCTCACCCATGGCCAAGACCTCCCTGGCCATGCTCCCGACGTGGCTCTGACTATCCAGTGTCCTTAAGTGCCCTCTGATGGGGACTCATGACACCAGAGTGATGCCTCAGGACTGCCATGGGGAGAAAACAGGGCAGACAGATGGATGTCAGAGTTAAAATGGGATCGTTTCAGAAGAGATCGATGGAAACTTCAGTGGCCACCTGCCTATTACTTTTTATTATTAGTATAACAGCATGTGTGTGTGTCTACCATGTGTCAGCAGTGCGCTAAGCACTTTGCATACATTATCCCTTGAAGTCTTCACAGCAGTCCTGCAAGGTAGGAAAAATGCCATACAACTTTGAAGACACAGAAAGAAGGCGAGGCTCGGAGAGGTCAAGTAGATTTCTGTAGTCATACAGCTGAGAAGGGGCAGCACTGGTTCTCCAAAACCAGCCTGACTGTCTCCAGTGCCCTTTCTCTGTCCACTCACCACTCCGCTTACACCCAGACTGTCGGGGACATAGGTGGAAGGCAGAGCCCCCCAGGGTTACTTCTTTTATATGATGGCCACAGAGTGTTAGTTTCTTCTAGTCACATCACTCTGCAAGAAAACATCAGTGCGGTGAGTACTACAGCCACTCTACTAGGCACACAGGGAATTTGTAAATAAAACATCTGCCTCTGGCCAGTTTAAAGACTGCCTTTGAAATTAATGGCTGCTTTCCTAGCAAAAGGCGCTGTTTTACTGTCGCTGGGGAGACCACTGATTTCCTTTAGCATTCACCCTGTAGATCAAGGGGTGAGTTCAGTGTCAGGGGACGGACAATCTTGGCCTCGTATTTACTTTCTGAGGGAGGAGAGAGGATGGCAGGGAGCAAGAGGCCTCTGCCAGAGAGTGAAAGCAAAGAGGGAGGAAAGGGCATCTGCATGGGAAGTAGCATGCTTCCCCTGACTGCTGGCCCTGTGGGCTCCTCTCCCTGCTCTTCTGCATGCGTCGAAACGTCTAGCCTCTGGGAGGGGAAACAAATGAGCAAGAAAAGAAGCCTTCAGGAGTGTCTCCCCTAACCTCAGATAAGTAATGGGACAGCAGGCTTTTTCTTCCCCTCTGCCCTGGCTGGTGTAGTCTAATGCTCGATTGGACTACTTTGACTTTGACCTGAATTGGCAGTTGGAACCATCACCAGGCTCACTGCTTGGCTATACATAGCAGGTGCTTGGCAAAACGCTTTTTAATGGATTGGTCGATGTGAATGGGGTGCCTATACCATTTGCCTGACCTGATACTGTTCTCAGTCCTTTCCAGACCTGCCTTTCCTCTTTCTAGGGTGGACCTAAGATTTGGGCTCTGTCCCAGCCCTGGGCCCTGGGGGCAGAGGAGGGCAGCCTTCGCTTGGTGTCTGGTCCATCTCCTGAGACACTCTGCATTGTGGGCGTCTTCTTGTCCTTCTTGAAGGCCTTCCCAACTCGACCCTGGCTGGTTCCTGTCCTGAACAGATTCACTGGCTAGTCGTAGGCTTAAACTGCTCCAGAAAACCCTTCTTTTTCTTACTGTCTGCTGGGATTTGAGCCCCCAAGTGGCTGTGGAATACCAAAGGCCAACATTCTGCCATAGTCCACGTTCTGTACGGCTGCTTCCAACAACTCCCAACAGACACTTAGTTTTCCCCATCTCCAGACCCTCCCTGCCCTGGTTCTGCCCTAAGTTCCCGTTTCCGTCTGGGAGAAACTTTCTTTAGCTTCTTTGCAGAGCAGGGCTGACCTACAGGCTGCAGGGCTGGGCCTAGGGCTGATGTGCCAAGTGGAGTTCACTCTTCCTTGCTCCAGTTCCCATCTCTGCCTGCTTTCCTAGGACTCACTGATGAGTTACTCAGGTGTCCTCCAGGGAGGGATCTCCTGGAACCAATTATTTCTGTTTATTTAATATCTCAAAATACCTTAAGCACATAGAACAATAACAGCCCATCTGCCACCAAGGCCTGAGGATGGCTTTCCTTTGCACCTTCCTCTGCTGGTGGGGAAGACCCCCATGGCCAGTCCAGGTTTCCCTTATGCCCCCTTGACAGTTGAGCTCCCAGATGCACCATAAAAGGATTAATTTCGGTGCTCATAATTGATGCTATAAATAAAATCCTCAATTATCTCAGTTAACCGAGGGAAGGGATAACACAGAACTCCCAATATTAAATAAGACCAACACACCCAGTTTGTGAATGTATTCTATGTTGTAGATTTTTTTTTTTTTAAGCAGATTTTCCTTCTTAATTGTGTTTGACTTTGCTCAGCATCACGATTGGCCCAGACTGTCTGAGTCAGTCCGTGGGTGAAGTTCCAGTTCAGCGTGGGGAAGAGAGGATCGTGCACAAGGAAAGCGTTGCAAGAGAGCACCCATCAGGGCCGTCGAGGGCCAGCTCCGAGACTGGATGGGATGAGGCTCTCTTGGCTGTCTTGGGGAGGGGGGGACGGGCTTGGGAAGGGCACAGAGCAGCATCGCTCCTGGTAAGATGGCCTGTTGCTGCCTGCTTGGCTTGCTTATGTAATTGAGACTGCCAGCCTATCTGTCACCCCATGCCCCGAGATGAGAGAGCTTTTGACAGGGTCCAAAAATCCCTTTAACGAAAACAGAATCGATTTTTACTTCTTCCAAGCATGAAGCAGCCTCCAGGTGATTTGCATTTCCCTTTAAAACCTAATCCTGGAAGGGGCCTGCCCGAGGTTTTGCGAGACTGGGGGCTGGCCCTGGACAATCAATACAGGCACACCACAGAATGGGGTACTTGGTCAGGCTGACCCCCCGACCCAGTGCCAGAAGTGAGGCCAATCTGGGATCTGGTTAACCCTCAGTTCCCAAGATTCTGGCTGCACCTTCTTTCACTGCCTCGAGGCCCACCAACCCTCTTCCCAACTCCCAGTTGCCTTGGCCTGGGACCCTGGCCAGCCGTATCTACCTGGGTGGTGGCGTGACCGTGCCCCGGGGGGGATCTGGTCATAGCATGCTTACTGGGAAGGAATGACCCCATGCTCTTTTCTTGGTTTGACACTTCTTACCCAACAGTTCTCTGGTGCTGCAGTTCCCAAGAGAAGATACAGACCCACATCTTCACAAGAAATCTTGTATTCATTCCACGTTTATTGAGTGCCTACTGTGTCCCTACCGCCTGAGAATACAAAGCGCTATGATTGCACCCCAGCCTAGCATCAGGTCCAGACAGAATGAATTGAATGAGACTCACTGCTTTTCCTTTGAGCCAAAACAGGAGATGGTAGGTAGAACAGAGGACCAAAGGTCAGAAAAAGAGGACTTTATGCATACGCTTCCTGCCACTCCAGAGATTGCCCCCCATCTGCTCTGTGTCTGGCCAACTCCCATCATCCTTCAAAACTCAGGCCCACACCATCTCCTCCTGGAGG